ATTTTCCTGGGAATTTACGAAGTACGTGAAAAATATGCATCACAGACTAAAAATAACCAGCCAATCACCATCAGACTGCGTGGTTAGTCATTGCGAATGACTTTCAAAGTGTGTTGAGATTTCTTTGTGTGGTTTTATGTGAAAAAAATTCAGAAAATTCTCAATGAAACGAGCGGCTTCGACAAGAAAGTGACATAGGTCTAGGCTTTCCACAGTCCAACAGATGATCGATACTTTGGTTTAATTCAGACTGTGAATACGTTCATGAAGAATATGTTCCCAGTTGAAGAGGCACAGTGAGAGCTAGAGTGAGGAGGAGAATTATGAAAATTATAGATTTAAAACTAGATCGATAGTAAGAGAAGGGGGCGTATCCCTCAAACAGCAATATCTGGTGCTTACTTTGTGAAACAAGACTGATCCTACTAGGTTGATTGGCACACAAAGGTAGAAGATTGGCGCTAGATGAAAGGTAAACCTATTTTCTACAATGTCTCCAAGTTTTATCTTACTCTAATCACTTGTTTGCATGTAACTAATTTGTTTGTACATCATGTTGGGTTTTTTGTGTTAATGCCCAGGAGCTCAGGTTACAGGGACAGTTAGGTTCAGGGTCTCAGGTCTGGTAGGGTTAAATGCACTCAAAAATAAATGTCTGAGGAGGATAATTAACATTAAATGGGATGATTTCCAGAAAAGTGTAGAAATAAAGAGAAATATCTGGACAGCCACTGGCATCCACAGTTAAAAGCCAAAGAAGATGGCACAATATTGGGCACATTCTGAAAAGAGAAGTGAGCAGAGGCACACCAAAGAGTCAATGAGATAGGAAACAAATGGCTTGAGGAAACAAGGATGTTCACAAGAAAAACACATGCTGGTGGTAGAGGCTGAAGGTTCTGGACTGGATTCCAAGGATTACAAAGGAGACCATGGAATCTAGGAATGGATTCTGAGCCCTACGTAATGTGTAATGGCACAAAAGGACAATTATGATGATTCTAATAGATTACAAATGATACAAGCCTTCTTTAATAGGATAGACTACTAGATAAGATTTTTCATTATGTAAAGCAGTATATAAAACACTTAGGTCTTCATTCGCCTTCTGTAAGGGGGTCTATGAAAAAAAAAGTTCTTTCTCTAACTTAAAACCATATGCTTTATATAGCCTTCCTTGTGTAAAAAGGTATTTAATGTGGCTTTCCTTATATGAAGAAAACATAAGTTTAATATGGCCTTTATTCATATAAGAAAGGCATACATTTTATATAGGCTTTCCTTATAACCTACTGTCCAGAAATTTTGGGCCACCCAATGGTAATAAACCTACTCTCCAGTTATTTTGGGCCACCCAATGGTAATAAAGTTACTCTCCGGTTATTTTTGGCTACCCAATGGTAATGAACCTACTCTCCAGTTATTTTAGGCTACGTAATGGTAATGAACCTACTGTCCAGTTATAATGGGCTACCCAATGGTAATGAACCTACTGTCCAGTTATATTTGGGCTACCCAATGGTAATGAACCTACTCTCCAGTTATAATGGGCTACCCAATGGTAATGAACTTACTGTCCAGTTATAATGGGCTACCCAATGGTAATGAACCTACTGTCCAGTTATTTTGGGCTACCCAATGGTAATAAAGTTACTCTCCAGTTATTTTGGGCTCCCCAATGGTAATGAACCTACTCTCCAGTTATTTTGGGCTACCCAATGGTAATAAAGTTACTCTCCAGTTATTTTGGGCTACCCAATCATAATGAACCTACTGTCCAGTTATTTTTGGCTACCCAATGGTAATGAACATACTCTCCAGCTTTTTTGGGCTACCCAATGGTAATAAAGTTACTCTCTAGTTATTTTTGGCTACCCAATGGTCATGAACCTACTCTCCAGTTATTTTAGGCTACGTAATGGTAATGAACCTACTGTCCAGTTATAATGGGCTACCCAATGGTAATGAACCTACTGTACAGTTATAATGGGCTACCCAATGGTAATGAACCTACTGTCCAGTTATATTGGGCTACCCAATGGTAATGAACCTACTGTACAGTTATATTGGGCTACCCAATGGTAATGAACCCACTGTACAGTTATACTGGGCTACCCAATGGTAATAAACCCACTGTACAGTTATATTGGGCTACCCAATGGTAATGAACCTACTGTCCTGTGTAAATGGAGATAACTGTCAACTCTTTGTAAACTAGTTAATCCTAACATGGCCTCTTACAAAAAATATGTAATTATACTTAAGGGCCTCAATTTTAGCAACTAGTTAACTATACATATGCGTCTCCTTTGTAACAATAAAGTAACTATATTTATGGTCCTAAATTGTAACCACTCATTAACTATACAGATAGGCCTTCTTTATAACACAAATGTAATTATACTTATGGACCCTAATTTAGCAACTAGTTAACTATACATATGCGTCTCCTTTATAACAATAAAGTAACTATATTTATGGTCCTAAATTGTAACCACTCATAAACTATACAGATAGGCCTTCTTTATAACACAAATGTAATTATACTTATGGACCCTAATTTAGCAACTAGTTAACTATACATATGGGCCTTCCTTATGTAAGGCAAGCGAGCATGCATGATCTGAGTACAATGTGAGGAGGTCTGGTACAATCAGAGACAGGAGGAATCCATTCTTTGACTTGCAAGGTCCTAATCTGAAACACAACACAGAAAAACCGACATTGGATAAAAGTACACAACATGATAAGGTCAGGGAGACTGGTGTTGGTTCCATGCATGGTGAGAAAAGCCAGGAAGAATCATGCTACTTACTATAATAGGAAAACTAAAGATAGATCATTTGAAGCAACAGAGTTAGTGGTGTTTCTCGGGTGACTGGCTAAACTACATGAGTAAAGAAAAAAGTACTATCCTCCTGTAAGGGAATGTCCACCCATAGTATATAAAGACTGGAAAGGTGAACAAGGTTGAAGAATCTATACTGATCAACAGCTTGTAAAACAATAACCACAAAGTGTGTGTTACACATGGAACGTAATCAGGACATGATAGAGAACACTCTGGACAAAGTGGAAGAGACTGGAGAACGGGACCTCGCCATGTAATACCTTACAGTTAGCACTCCTTTAAAATCCATACTGGAGGAAAACAAGAAACAGATAGTGATTCAAGTGAAAGGACAACATCAAGAGTTGGACAAACAGTAATCTGACAGTGTACTACAAAGACAAGTGACGGAGTGTGTTGGCAATCTACTGCGGCCAACCTTCATTGTGAAGATGGCACCTGACTGACTAAGAAAGCGTTGCTACTGATACCCCAGAGAAGAAGTAAGTTAGAACTTGCCTGAAGAGTTGCTTTAGTAATACAGGAGAAACAATTTAATACCAATTACAAAAAAATAATTAGATAAAGGTGGCTGCGTATCCATTACAGGGCTTTGCAGAACCCCAACATTTTGTGTGTGGCTTTTTTACACTCATTAGTTTGCCACTGCCTTCTGATCGACTAGCTTTTAATACCACTGTCAAAATCACCTACAGTTGGAATCGAACTGGGTAATCTTGAAGCTACAAACCACAGTAAGATCAGCTGCACTGTCTCAGCCACAGACACCAACACAGGAGACACTGGTCAACCAAAAGTGTATCATATACAATGCAGACCTGATAAGCAGAACCCACCAGGGACCCAAGAAATAGTTCTTCTTATCAGAAATTCCTCTTATCCAGATAAGAGTTCAAGCAAGAAAAACCTGCTGGGGATAAACATATTGTTTTTCACAACAGAATTTCGCCACAGCCAAGATCGCCTTAAGCGGTTTGCTCTGTATTGCTGATTTAAGAATCGACATCATAGCGCATAGGGCATACCTACAGATGCTCGCTCCGTCTGCCACAGAAAATGTCTTCAGAAAGGTGTAGATGCTAACTGTTTCTGTAGCACACTTTCTGTATGCAAGTCATTCTCTTCCTCTCAGAAGTCCCTCCTTACCGGATCCACTCCCAACTTCCCGCCCAAATGAATCTTATCAGACAGTATTACGGGTGAGAACAACAGGTCACAAAAGCGTCTTGTGTTCTGCTGACTGTGACTAAAATAAGGGAGAAAAGAACATGTATGCAGAATATCCATATTCTGAAAAGACATGAGGGAATGTTTGGTCATATTTCTGAGTAAACAAAACTGCTGATCTGCTATTATGCTGGTCATCTGCAACTGTCTTAATGATCATCATCTTCATTATCATTTCCTTGTGTTCTGCCTGTTAATCATAGGTTAGCTGCAGAACCTACCCAAGATTTTTTGGTGGGTGTTTGGATTTACTAAGCAAGTTTACATTCGGTAATATGCCACTTCTTTCTAAAGGGTGGTCGCTCCATACCACTGACAAAATCAACACAAAGTGGTCTGCTGTCTAAATCAGCTGCAGCTAGAATTCAACCGGGTATTTAGAAATTGCAAAGCGTGTTTGCAATGCTTAACTCTTTTAGTCCCACAATGTCCGTGGACGTTAGGAATGACAATACTAGAGGGGCTAAATATACAATCCTTGCAGGAAACAAACAGGTTTTCAGAGTCTCTCACTAAACATGCATAACATGTCGACTATTAAACATGAATAATACTTGATCAAATATGCTGCATTGTTTGGGACACACACAAAACAGTCAGGCCTTCGATGCTGACCTGCTTTCTGTTTGGTTTTATACAGGTGAGTCTTGAATGCAATGAACTTGCTCAGGTAAGAGTAACAAGACTGAGAAGTAATGAGTTGAAAACAATAGGATAAAGGACTCATTTAGGCAAATCAGGCAGATGATGCTAGCTTCATATATTTTCAGACCAATCAGCCATTGAGGGGTGGTATGGTCATCATCACATCAGCCGCCTTTACTTTCCAGGACATTACCTGGTACCCGCTTAAGACTGGGCTGACTTGTGGATGTCAAGTTCAGACAAGTAATAGCTTACCTTGAAAATGATACTTGCTGTATCACTGACGGTCAACTGCAAATGAAGAATACAAAACATTCAGGAGACTATACAGGCAATGCAAGGCAACACAAAAATATATGACATGACTCTCTTTTCTCTCTCTCTCTCTCTCTCTCTCTCTCTCTCTCTCTCTCTCTCTCTCTCTCTCTCTGTATATGTCCTTTTCTCTTGGTCTGTCAGTGTATGGGTGCATTCATGCATGCATCCATGAAGACTTGCGTATATATAATCATCATCATTAAGCAGGTCCTTTGCAGAACATCACTCTAATCACATTGTTCATTTAAAGATCATCTTCATCGCACATCAGACATGACCATAAGTGCTCTGATCTCCTCCTGAGTATGTCTTCAAGTGTTTTAGGCTAATAACTCCCATTCTGTTCTGGCTGATGTAACGATGGGTGGCTCCCGTGTGGTTTTCCATTTTATTTTTCCAATCACTGCTCAACAGAAAGCTTATTCTCCTGTTTCATATACTGTCATGCCAGAAGTATCTACAATAGCTGGTGCTCACCTTCTTGCTAAGCAACACCTGCCTCTTCCCCCAGGAACCCTGTCTCCCAGGAACCCTGCCTCCCAAGAACCCTGTCTTACAGGAACCTTGCCTCCCAGGAACACTGTCTCCGAGGGACCCAGCCCTCCAGGAACCCTGCCTGACAGGAACCCAGCCCTCCAGGAACTCTGCCTTCCAGGAACCCTGCCCTCCAGGTACTTTGCCTTCCCAGGAACCCTGTCTCCCAGCAACACTGTCTCCCAGGAATACTGTCTTCGAGAAACCCTGCCTCCCAGGAACACTGTCTTTGAGAAACCCTGCCTCCCAGGAACAATGTCTTAGAGAAACCCTGCCTCCCAGGAACACTGTCTCCCAGGAACCCTGCCTCCCAGGTATACTGTCTTTGAGAAACCCTGCCTCACAGGAACAGTCTCCCAGGAACCCTGCCTCACAGAAACCCTGCCTCCCAGGAACCTTGCCTTACAGAAATCTGCATCCCAGGAGCCCTTTCTCCCAGGAAACTTGCCTCCCAGGAGCCTTGTCTCCCAGGAACCCTGTCTCTGAGGAACCCTATCTGCAAGGAACCCTGTCTCCCAGGAACCCTATCTCCCCGGAACAATGTCTCCCAGGAACCCTGCCTTCCAGGAAGCCTATCTCCCAGGAACCCTGTATCCCAGGAACCCTGTATCCCAGGAACCCTGCCTCCCAGGAACTCCGTCTCACAGGAACCCTGCCTCACAGGAACCCTGCCTTACAGGAATCTGCATCCCAGGAGCCCTGTCTCCCAGAAACCTTGCCTTCCAGGAGCCCTGTCTCCCAGGAACCTTGCCTCCCAGGAGCCCTGTCTCCCAAGAACCTTGCCTCCCAGGAACCCTGTCTCCCAGGGACCTTGCCTCCAAGGAACACAGTCTCTGAGGAACCCTGTCTCTGAGGAACCCTATCTGCCAGGAACCCTGTCTCCCAGGAACCCTGTCTCCCAGGAACCCTGCCTTCCAGGAACTCCGTCTCACAGGAACCCTGCCTCCCAGGAACCCTGCCTCACAGGAGCCCTGCCTCACAGGAGCCCTGCCTCACAGGAACCCTGCCTCACAGGAACCCTGTCTCCCAGGAACCCTGCCTTCCTAAAATGTTCTTCCTAAACCACTGTGTCTTCACTTATAGTCCAAGCACTTGATGATGCTGATCATTAATCATTTTCTTCAATGTTCAGATCCTGCAAAATGGCAGTATTTAACTTCTTCTTGATTCATTTTCATCCAACAACTTTTCTGTAACATTTTAGCTCAAAATCTCACTCACTCACTCTCTTCCCCTCTCTCTCTCTCTCTCGCTCGCACACACACATATATTTAGATATATAATTTCTGTGTGTGTGTGTGTGTGTGTGTGTGTGTAGTGTGTGTGTAGTGTGTGTGTAGTGTGTGTGTGTGTGTGTGTGTGTAGTGTATGTGTGAGCTTATAAGCATGGAGCTATGTGAGAGTAAATAGTAATCTACTTTATAAGGTATCAGTAATACAAGATTTCACGCAACCCCCCCCTCGTCTCTCCACCAATATCCAAATAATCTGAATGCTCACTGCTCAAAACTGTACAATATCCAAGCAATCCATGACCCACTTTATAATATCCAAGTAATCTGGAACCCACTTTATAATATTCAAATAATCTGGAACCCACTTTATAATATTAAAGTAATTTGGAACTCACTTTATAATATTCAAGTAATTTGGAACCCACTTTATAATATTCAAGTAATTTGGAACCCACTTTATAATATTCAAGTAATTTGGAACCCACTTTATAATATTCAAGTAATTTGGAACCCACTTTATAATATTCAAGTAATTTGGAACTCACTTTATAATATTCAAGTAATTTGGAACCCACTTTATAACAGACAGTACATGACAATGACATGAACAGGTTTCAATTAAATGCTCCTTAAATAAGCATATTAATGCTAACATATTGCTCTCTCTCTCTGTAGGTTCCGGGGCCCCATTGTGTGGAAATTGTGGGGAAATAAGAACAGACCTACTGCCTCCCAAACAAGCATGTCATAGTAATCAACTAATTGGGGACTTGCCTCAAAGTCGCAGTACATCTGCCTGAGAGACAAGGACCCAAGAGTCTGTATATAAATAAGAAAGATGTGTGAAACAGATCTGCAACGCAACACTCAGGTTCTGGAACAAGACTAATGCTACACAGGGATCAGATGCAAATACAAGAGTGAGACATTAACAGTGACTTTACCATTTTCGCCCTCTTCCATCCATCGCTGTCTCTGGCCCAGCAGATCCTCGGAGTCAAGGTCCACAGTCTGGGTAGGGAATGTCACCCCAGAACCTAGGCTGTGTGACAGAAATAATAGAAACAGCTTAGTCTACTAATGCTTCATAAATCTAGAAACATCAGCACAGTAGCTAGTTTAGTTTAGATGCTTCATATTACAGTGGTCTGAGTTAGAACTGTCACCCCAGAAACTAGGTTGTGTGACAGAAACAAAAGAAACAGCTGAATCTTCTAACACTTCATAAATCTAGAAATATCAGCACAGTAGTTAGTGTGGATGCGTCACATTACAGTGATCTCTGTTAGAAATATCACCCTAGACCTGCTGTGTAATAGAAACAGTTTAGTCTTCTAACACTACATAAATCTAGAAACATCAGTAGTTAGTGTAGATGCTTCACATTACAGTGTTAGAAATATCAAGGTTGTGTGACAGAAACAATAAAGAAACAGTTTAGTCCTCCAGCACTTCATAAATCTAGAAACATCAGCACAGTAGCTAGTTTAGTGTAGATGACTGACTATAGTGGCTGTGTTGGAAATATCAAGGCAGAACTTATGCAGTGGGAGTCGCCGTGGCAGAGCGGCTAGACGCGCACTGCGGATCGGAAGGTCGTGGGTTCGCTCCATGGCGAAACTGGACTTTTCAAAAAATTAACATGGCTCCCAGGTCGATCCAGCCTTGAGTGGGTACCGGGTGCAGTCCCGGGAAGTAGAGGCGGCCGGCATGATGCTGACCACATCACCCATCTTGTGCTCTTGGTCTATAAATATATAGGTCTAGCCCTATATGCCTAAAGGCGCCGAAAAGGGTCCTTTACTTTTTACTTACTTACTTATGCAGTGTGAGACAAACAATATACAAACAACTCTGTCCTCTAGCACTTCATAATTATACAAACAATAATTCATAATTCAACTATTTATAAGTCTAGAAACATCAGCACAGTAGTTAGTGTAGATGATTGACTATAGCAGTCTGTGTTTGAAATATCACCCCAGAATCTAGGCTGTGTGAGAGAAATTATACAGAAACAACTTAGTCCCCCAGCACCTCTCAATTCAACAAACATTAATCAAGTGGTCAATGCAGATGCTTGACTATGCCGTGGTCTGTGTTGGAAAAATCAAGCCAGACCCTAGGCTGTGTTGGTGAAACGATAAAGAACAACACAGTCATCATGTATTTCATAATTTTACAAACAATAGCAGATTGGCTAATGTAGATCGCAGATTCCCAATCCATGGGTCGCGAAGGGTCTTATTGGGAGTCGACAGGCAGTGGCTAGCTACAAAAATTTTTTAAAAAAAACATTAAATAAAACAAAATTAACCACATACACAAAAAAAATAACTGTGTTGTGCCCTGCTCAGAAAAAAATATGTTTAAATATGTTTGCGATGATTTTATTTACCACACTGAAAAGTATACATATATATATCAGACCAAGGCCATTCAATTAAGTTAACTCAGGGGTCAAAATGTTGGAAAATGGCAATTGTCGCGGGCAAGAGGTCCAAGCCCCAACATAGAAAGTTATTAATACAATAGTTGGTAGGTGATCCACGGGCGACTTGGTTGGTCTCTATGGGCCAGATTTGGCACACGGGCCACCAGTAATAGCCCTGCTTTAGGCTGTGGGAGAGAAACAATATAGGAACAACATAGTCACCTAGTACTTCATAATTCTACAAACAATAATACAGTAGTTTAGGTATTTGCTTGCGAATAATGAATTCGTCTGTTCATCACAGTTTAAAAAAAAAAAAAAATACAACTGTCTAAACTAACAAGACAAGTCTACACTATAACAAGCACAAGATGTAAGCTTCTAAATTATGAACAGCCATACATTCAACACCAAACAATAGAATACAATTTACTACCTGGCATATTTTGCTGTTTCTCATTGGGTACATTACTACAGAGTTAAACCAACATATAATGAAACACAAAAACAAATTCTTTTCGCTTAAATGCATAAACCATATTGTCAGGTTACTGTACACCTCTCCACCAGAAATCCAAGATCAGCCATGTGACTGCCATGGTTAACTTCAAATTCATCACATGATCTTTTTGTTTACATAACACACCAGAGTTTTGTTTGGTCCATACGGCCTCAACCCCTTTTAGCATTTTAAAAATTTACAACTGGAAAACACTGTTCTGAAATCCAGTGCAGTGCCTACTGGCATGTGTGATCACAGCCTTTGTAGCTCTCCCCCTCAGCACCACTTATGGCAGAGACAGGGAAGTACAGGCAACGCCTCTCTGTGACACTCTACAGCAACAGCTCAAAACAAGATGACCATTACTAGGCTGTATGGTGTTTATGACCGTGTCTGTGGCTTAGAGGGTTTTTAGGGGTTTCATAATTCTGACATACTAGACCTCAACATCAATTCAGCAGCAGACAGTGTGCACAGATTTCAATACTGGTATGAGCACCGGACCATACAGAAAGCACATAATTCAACACTGGTATGAGCACTGAACCATCCAGAAAGCACATATTTCAACACTGGTATGAGCACTGAACCATTTAGAAAGCACATATTTCAACACTGATATGAGCACTGAACCATTCAGAAAGCACATATTTCAACACTGATATGAGCACTGAACCATTCAGAAAGCACAGATTTCAACACTGATATGAGCACTGAACCATTCAGAAAGCACAGATTTCAACACTGATATGAGCACTGAACCATTCAGAAAGCACAGATTTCAACATGGGCATGCACATCCTTTTTTTCCCCTCTAATTAGTCGACTCTTATGACATCTTTGTTGGGGAGACAGTGGATCTATTCTTTTACCTCCACCAAAATGGGGCCATGAAAATCACAAGGAATGTCTGGAATCAAACCTAGATCATTGTTAGGATAGCGAGCACAGTATCTATTATGCCATCATGACTCCCCCAACATGTAACAGGGCTGTGAAACAGCAGCAGACGATTAAACCTCATTAGTGCTGTGATAAACACTACAAGCCCTCCATTCCTGAGCACCTCAGTCAGACGGAAAAACACACAGCAGACACATCCGGGGTTGACAGATGATGATGAGTGTGTGTGTGAATACAAATATATTTGTGTGTGTGTGTGTTCATCTACGACTTTGAAAGATATGTTTTACAATTAGAAATACTTGTTTTTTTAGCTTGAAAGATAGTTTTACAGCTTGAATTATACTTTTGACAGCTATAAAAATCAGTTTTAAAATGAGAAAGATATGTTCTGCAGAGTAAAAAAAAAAAATTAATGTTTGGCAGCTTAAAAGATAAGTAGATAGTTCTACAGGTTGAAAGAAACTTTATAAAGCTTGAAAGATATTGACACATAATTGTACTACAGCCCAAAAGAACACTTTTACAGCCAGAAAGATCAGTTTTACAGGTATAAAAGTCAGTTTTACAGCTATAAATATCAGTTTTAAAGCTAGAAAGATATGTTTTGCAATGTAAGCAGTATTTTCAACAGCTAGAAAGATATGTTTTGCAGTTTGAAGCAAAACTGTTGGTAGCTAGAAAGATAAGTCTGACAGCTATAAAGATACACTTATGCAGTTGAATGAATATTCTCTACAACTATAAGAACTTCATAAGTAAATGTTAGCTCTGATGCTACTATGAAATAATAAACCTTATTTCCAAAGGATTACAAATTGGGCACGCATGCCAGTCTTACATTCAGCCCTTACAAACATTCAACTTTCACATGGCAGTAAGCTGTAGAATAAGTAATTAACTGTAAATTTTTCAATGTAGCTTTTAGGAAAAGACAAACTATACTAACGTTTGTTCCTCCCTAGATGTAGTTCCCATGGTGTTATAGCTGATAGTGGGTTGCCAGCGAGATGGAAATGACACCCCATCCCCACAGCTGCGGTAACAGCAGCGAAAAAAAAAAAAAAAAAAAAGGAAGCAACTTAAAAAACTTCAAGATCCCATTTTTGTTTACTGTCCACTGTTTTACATGCAAATTTAAGTAAAATAATTTGTTTAAAATACAAAATAAACAAATCATAAAGCATTACCCAGCACAGAGAGTACAAAGTTGGTCAAAAAGTTAAAAATGTTATTGTGAAGGAGACGTAAAACAGAGGCAGACCAGGAGAGAAGATGCTGGACTATTTGGCCTTCTCAACAAATTATTGAAAAGAAAGAAGGCCTTGAGATACCACAACCACCAAGGCCACAAGGGATGCCTATAAAAAGATGAAGTTCAAGAAGTTGGGAGAAGTGTATGGAAACTGGTGTGAAGTTTAGCCTTTTTATAAATATCTGAATCTGTGCTGCTTGTTGTCAATGGTACAAGTATTCTACAATTCAGGAAGCAATGGCAAACTAATGAAAGTAAAACTTCTTAGTAAAAACACACATCATCATCATGTGTTGTGCTGGTAATAAGCAATAGCTGTCATGTTTCACCTTCTTAAACGATTATCACAGTCACGGATCAGGTCACAGTTCTTGTCTTGCCCCGCAATATGGCCAACCCATACAGCATATTGGCAACTATGAGCCTCTTTTAACTACAGTGAAAAGTCGAAAAATGCAATGGTAAGGACATGTGATAAGATCTAATAGCCTCTCAAAACAATACTGCAGGGCTCAGTAGAGGAAAAGAGGAGAAGGGGCAGACCAAGAAAGACCTGGTTACAGAACCTGACTTCTTCTTCTTCTTCTTTCGTTCGCATGAAATAAATTGTCTATATCTGCAAAGCCGTCTCTAGTATGAATTTCACTGTCTTTTGTAATTCACTAAGCGGCCTGTAAAGTTTGACTTCCACAAGTGTCTCTTTTGGCCAAAGGTTTTGCCTGAAAGCGTTGAATCTGGGACAGTCTTGAAAGATGTGATCTGTTGTTTCGGGTGCCAGTCCACAAGTACACATGGCTGATTGGCCAATCTTAAGTTTGTTGTACATGTGGGAGCGAAGTCGATTGTGCCCTGTTCTAAGGCGAAGGATAATGACTTGCTCTGGTCTGTCCATAATATGGTAATCATCTTGTGCCAGTTTCGGTGGCATTCTGATTGATTTGATCATTC